GACCAGGATGGTCTCGATCTCTTGACCTCGTGATCCACCCGCCTCGGCCTCCCAAAGTGCTGGGATTACAGGCTTGAGCCACCGCGCCCAGCCGACTTTATTTCTTAAGCTAAAGGCAGTATTTCAAACACCTTACGTTTTAGCAATTTATAACGCTTATTTTAAAATTACTTTCCAGTGATTCTCTGACAATTGTTTTTCCATGAGCTATAAAGCCAAGTTTTTATGTCGTTTGCCCTTCTATAACACACACCGAATAGAACTCCTATTTTAATTACATATTCTGCTGTGGAAACAATTAATTATAAAACTTAAAAAAAAATAAGATAATTTAGTTCATTACAAATATATGTTGCCTCTGTCCGAGAGGTTCAGAGTCTACTTTTTAAACCTAATAAAGAATTGATAACTAGCTTCAGACTTGCTTACAGAACAAACTACTTAAAAGTTGACTTTTTTCGGCCGGGTGAGGTGACTTATGCCTGTAATCCCAGTACTTCGAGAGGCCAAGGCGGGCCGATCAGCTGAAGTCGGGAGTTTGACACCAGCCTAAACAACATGGAGAAACTCCGTCTCTACCAAAAATACAAAATTAGCGGGGCGTGGTGGCACATGCCTGTAATCCCAGGTACTTGGGAGGCTGAGGGAGGAGAATTGCTTGAACCCAGGATGTGGAGTTTGCAGTGAGCAGAGATTGCGCCATTGTACCCCAGCCTGGGCAACAAGAGCAAAACTCCGTCTCACACACACACACAAAAAGTTGACGTTCTTCCCCAAATTCAGAGCATCACTTTATTTGCACAGTCCCTAACTTCCACAACATCGGGGGGGGGGCGAGAGGGGGTAGGATCCATCAATTAATTTTCTAGTCATTTTCCAACTTGCCCTTAGCTCCTCGTGTAGATTTTTTAAGTATTTACACTTTCCTGAAGATTTTTTTTAAAATGTTGTCAGCCATGTCCCTCAAAACAAATAAATTCACGAACTACAAAACATGAACCTGGCCACATTCACCGCCAACTAGTATCTGTCAAGTCAAGCCCATATTTGGGATAAGCTCTTCGTGACTACTCTATCCTCCATGCTACCACCCTTCGCCTACAGAACCAGTCAAGGTAAAAGGCACTCGAGCCAACAAAAAAAGTGTTCTAACACATTAATAGGTTGCAAGACCTCCTCTTTTAGGAGGGACAACCTAGCTGTTTGGGTAAATAACAGCCAAGGATTATATAATGTACAGCTATAATGAGTTTTCAGGATCTGACCACCAGTAAATATTTTTCTTCTCCGCTCCCCCTCCCTACCAATAGGAAATGGCCCTAAGAAGCAGTCACTGAGATTTCTCTTAGCTGTCTGCAGTGCCGTGTCCTTTTCTCGCCTGGGGCTTTGTGCAAGGAATCCCTTCAGCCCTCGCCACACTGCCTTGCTCCCGCCTCTCTCCTCTCTCTCTGCCAGCGCCACCGCAGCCCCCACGCCCTAGGTGGGCCCCCCACGTCGCCCCACAGGGCTCGGGTTCCACCCGCCTCGGCTGCCGCCTTCTCCTCCTCACGACCCTCCCAAGATGCTACCTGGTTTACAAGAGGTTCCGGGACCACCGACACTCTGGCTACCGCCTTTCTAGACCACCCTCGCCAGCTCCCTTCTGTAGCTTCCGCGGCCGAAAGAAAAGAAAAACCCTCTTCATCTAGCGCTTTGCGTCCCCCAAAGACAGCACCGCCGCCTACCTGTCACCCTGCTGTCTCCGGCTTCCTACCGCCACCGCCTCCCGCAGCAGCCTGCCAACTGCAGCGCAACAAACAGCCCTCTCATTGGGTGAGAACACGCGCTCAACAGCCTCTCTTATTGGGTGCAGCATGTCCCAGGCCCTACGCTGTGTGCAGTGTCTAAGGATTCCTTCCCCGAGCAAGGAAAACATCTTGTCTTCCCAGCCCTTCTCTCTTTCGCAGTATCTGTTAACTCAGTCAGACTGAGGATGCATATATGTGGGGAAAATATCGACTTCCAGCCTCCCTCATGTGACCTCTACCTCATTCGGGAATCTCTGACCCAGTATCGGAACGTTAAACGGCTTCTCCGCTTTCCTGCCGTGAGAGACTCGCGGTGACAACCTCCGCTTCCGGTTGGCTCCGGTTGCAGAGTTGAGTGTCCTGAGAGGTCAGTTTGCCGTCAGGTAAATTGGGGAGTTGGTGGGAGACCTCTTGATTTAGGATTAAGAGCTAGACTTTATTCTGGGGAGTGCAGAAAGTGAGAGACTACCTGGAGAAGGATGGGAGGGAGGGAGGTCGACGAATTAGCGGTAGAGAACTGATGAAGTCCTAGTTTAGCATTGGGGTAGGGAGAGGTGGTTGGAGGATTCCATGACCATTACTGTAGTTGTTAAATCCAGGTGCCTTTTCCCGCCTCTGCCACGCGTAAAATCCCCCCAACTTTTGGTTTGTCTTTGTTTGCCTTTGGATCGAACAAAGGCAGAAGAACAGCATCACTGTTTTTTATTTTCTAATATTCATATAATATTCAGAGTTTTTTAAATAAGAGGAAATTAGAATATATACTTGATAGTCTTTGGTAAACTCAAATTGCATGTAGTGGAAGTGACGTTATCTTATTTCTTAGGGAAAGGATACCAGCTCTTTTTCTGTACTAGAGCCAGGTTCCTTAAGTGGAGATTGATCTTCATCAGACTTTTAGATTCACTTCAGACACAGGTAGATGGCTTTTAAAATTTTTGGTTGCATGTGTTTTCTTTATTTAACTAATCTCCTTACTGTTATTATTTGAGCTGCTCTGAAATGGAAATAACCACTTATTTTCAGTCTTCACAATATAAGTCACTTTTTCTAATTTTATCTTTTATTGTCAAGTATACATACAGAAGTGTGTATAAAACATACATTTAAAAAAATTATAACTAACAGGCAGACACTCCTGTAACCACACCTTAGGTTACAAAATAAAACATTGCCAATAACTTAGAACATGCATTCTTAACAGGGGTGATTTTGCATTTCAAGGGGGTGAAAATTGGTGGGGCTGGGGTGGGAATCTTAGTTACTACAATGATTTGTGTCACTCCAAATGGCCACAGTATATAAACAGATATACAGTATATACGTAGTGTTAAATTTTCATTGGATGGAAGTGTGATGAGGAATAAAATGTCTTAAAAGGTTCCTTACAGAGACAGTAATTAAAAATTGTTTGAAAAACACTGCCTTAGAAGCTCCCTGTATGTTTCTGTGATTCCATCTCCTCCACGAAGAGGTAACCATTATCCTGACATGTGCTTAGTACTCCCTTGTTTTACTTTAATTTTTCCATCTATGATGCATTCCTAAAAGACGAATTGTTAGGCTTTTCAATTTACATAAATGGGATCAGAGTGCATGTGTATTTTTTTCTGACTCACCCTTTGCTCATTATTATATTTGTGGAGACATACTCATACTTTTGCATGTAGTTTTTTGTTGTATAATATCCTATAGTGTGACTACACCATAATCCGTTCTATTGTTGGTATTGTTGGACATTTCGGTTGTTTACAGTTGAGAGAATAAACAATGTGGCTATAAAGATTATTTTAAAAACATTTCCTTTTTTTATTTTGTTAAGACAAGAGTCTTGATGTCTCTAAGAAAATATTTTAAATATTTTTTATATTCCATAAATATAAACCTTTGATCTGTGATATGTTTATAAGATTTACAGTTGATAAAGTAGATTCACATATCCAAATTGTCCCAAAGACACCTTTTTTTTTTTTTTTTTTTTTTTTAGACAGAGTCTTGCTCTGTTGCTCAGGCTGGAGTGCAGTAGCATGATCTCGGCTCACTGCAATCTTCATCTCTTAAGTTCAAGCAATTCTCCGGTGTCAGTCTCACCAGTAGCTGGGACTGCAGGCCTGCACCTTCACAACCAGCTAATTTTTGTATTTTTAGTAAAGATGGGGTTTTGCCATGTTGGTCAAGCTTTTCTTGAACTCGTGACCTTAGGTGTTTCACCTGCTTCAGCTTCCCAGTGTGCTGGGATTACAGGCATAAGCCAGCACATCTGGGCTCCAAAGACACTTTAATATTTTCTAATAATGATTCGATAATCTGTTTTGAGATTAAATTGATTGAAATTAAATTTAAATTCCCTTTTCCCAATTGCACCATCCACATTTCAAGTGCCAGTGGCTACCACATTGGACAGTGTTTATCTAGAATAAGATATTCATATGTTCAGATTTTCTTTATATATATATATTCTTTTGAGATGGAGTCTCACTGTCACCCAGGCTGGTGTACGGTGGCATGATCTCGGCTCACTGCAACCTCCACCTCCTGGGTTCAAGCAATTCTCCTCCCTCAGCCTCCTGAATAGCTGGGACTACAGGTGTGTGCCACCGCACCTGGCTAACTTTTGTATTTTTTAGTAGAGATGAGGTTTCACCATGTTGGCCAGGCTGGTCTCAAATCTCCTGACTTCAAATGAGCTGCCTGCCTCAGCTTCCCAAAGTGCTGGGATTATAGGCATGAGCCACTGCACCTGCCCATGTTCAGCTTTTCGAGGTCAAGCCAGTTTTTCAGAAAGGTTGTGCTAAGTTACATTCTCATCACTAAGGTGTGAAAGTAGAAGGCATATCACAATGTGCTTTTTCATTCTCATAATCTTGCAAGGCAGGTTATCCTCATGTTACATGAAGAAACTGAAGTTCAGGGAAATTAAGCAGTTTGCCTTGGATTTTACTTTCACTAATGCAAAGCAGGAGAATTTCAAACTCTTCCTTTACATGATCAGGATATCATTGTTTGACTTATGGCTATTTGGAAATAGAAGAAAGTTTAAAAAGAAAAATGGAGCAGGTGCCATTGCTCATGCCTGTAATCCCAGTATTTTAAGAGGCCAAGGTGGGAGGAATGCTTGAGGCCAGGAGTTCAATACCAGCCTGGGCAGCATAGGAAGAGAAGATCCTGTCTCTGAAAACAAGAAAAAGAAAAAAGAAAATGAAAGGTTTTCTACAGATAATGTTGTAAACTTTCTGCTCTTTTTGTAAAGAAATTTAAATCTTTTTTTTTTTTTTTTTTTTTGAGACGGAGTTTCACTCTT